GAACTCGAGAGGAGACTCGAGAGGAGACTTGAGAGGGGACTCGAGAGGGAACTCGGGAGGTGACTCGAGAGGGAACTCGGGAGGTGACTTGAGAGGGAACTTGTATCGGTCCGTACGCCGACAGGACACAGGGAGCTGGCGTCGGCTGGAGAGCCAACAGGAGACGAGGAGCTGGAGTCGGCCGGTACGCCGACAGGCCTCGGGGAGCTGACGTTGGCCGGTACGCCGACAGGACTCGGGGAGCTGGCGTCGGCTGGAGAGCCAACAGGAGACGAGGTGCTGGAGTCGGCCGGTACGCCGACAGGACACTGGGAGCTGGAGTTGGGACCATGGCTACTGGGGCCGGTACTGAAGCCGGAACCATGGCTGCTGGGGCCGGAGCCATGGCTGCTGGGGCCAGGACTGGGGCTGGGACCATGGCTGTGTGGGCCGGTTCTGTAGCAGGGACCATGGCTGCATGGGCCGGTTCTGGAGCTGGAACCATGGCTGTGGGGACCGGTTCTGGAGCCGGAACCATTGCTGCTGGGCCCGGTACTAGGGCCGGAACCATGGTTGCTGGGGCCGGAATCATGGCCGCTGGGGCCAGAACTTGGACCGGAATCATGGCTCTTGGGGCTCGGGCTGCTAGCCTGGACTTGCAACTCCTTCTCTTAGAAGCCGCCTGAAGGCTCGGTGGACCTCCAAAAGCCAGACGAGTTCCAGAAAATGACTCCTGGACAGGAGCAGGAACTGGGGCAGAAGCACTGGTTGACTCCAGACGGAACACACCGAGACGTTTGTAGTCAGCAGGCTGGAAATCACACACCCAGAGGAAGTTCAAAATCCAGCCAGGTAAGAATTTCACCAAGTCTGGTTTCTCCATAGCCAACCGGTGCGCCACTACCAGAGCGGCCTCCTTCTGCAGAACACTGGACGCTCCCTTCCACCAATCATAGCAGCAAGCCAAATAAAAGGAAACATGTTGTAGTTCCACCTCAAATGGATCATCTGCTGGGTTCATTTCTTGGTCGGTTCGTACTGTTACGGTGTGTGTAGGAAGCGGGACCCAAATGCAGATTAAAGTGACAAAAAAATTCCTTTATTTCAAGGCTATACTATTAAATAAAGACTAAACAGAACACTCACCGAGGAACAAGCCATATCACAAGACGAACCGACAAAGACAGACAGAAAAACCAGAACTTAAATACACACAAGACTAATCATACAAACAAGACACAGGTGAGGAGGGAGGAGAAAACACAGGGACACCAGGTGAACACAATCGGGTAAATTAGACACACCAGGGAAACTGACAGGGAACTACAGACAGATCGTGACACACTTCTCCCCCATTCGGAGTTTGACTGTCTCAGAGAAGAGGTAGGCCTATGTCTAAAGAAATCTCATTTGCAATAGAACTGTACCAAATATTTCCATACACCTACTGGTTAGTGTTCAATAGCACCTACTGGTTAGTGTTCAACAGCACCCTAGACAATTCAGTAATGGCATATTTTTTTAGGGATTTCTGTTTTTCTGTTAAATGAGAGAAAAGTGATGGAGTCCTGTGTTCCTATCACCAAAAAGTACAATTTTCGTCTAAACTAAAGCTAAGTTTACAGGTCTATAATTCAGTATTGTCTTAGTTAAATAATTGTCTGACTATTTGGTGATGTAGGACAGCCACCTGGTTCATACCTCAGCAGATCTGAAGAGGAAACGAGTTGTCATTCTCAAGTTATGGGCTTTTTTGTCACCTTTCCCATTCGGCCTGGTCTAATTTGGCTCTTTTTCAGGGATTGGGGTAGTTCTAAAGAACAACCCAAAAAACATTTTTTCCCCCAAAATAAAATTTGACAACAATCAATTTCATTAATGGGAGACCCTAAAGATAAGAAAAATCATTGTTGTTATTTGTTCTACCTCGGGTAGGGGTATCTCGAAAACTAAAGCCTTTTTTGAGGACTTGCTGCTGGACTAGAGGTCCCACCTCTTTACCCTTATTTGGAGCAGGCGGGAGTTGAACTCTGACGTCACTGTCGAGCCGTTAGTGGCCGACTCCGCCTACTAAGGGCTTCTCGGCCACTCTGCAGAATCCTATGGGTGACGTCACGGACCCTACGTCCATTTATATATACAGTCTATGCTCACGACTCTTTGAAACATCTCTGTTCCCGGAAATGCATCCACAAAGGAGCCGTGGAGGAACCATCAGTGTATCCTCGGTTATTGCTCCTCCAGAGAGCCTCCTCGACGCTCGGTCCTCGAAGTGCATTTAGAGAAATGAGATGTCCTTCAAAATGACGCGCTGAAATTCATTTCCGGGTCACTACCGGAGGACCGAGGAGTCGAGGAGGGGGAATTAGTGAAATGAGAAAGGGCCAAGTTGTTTCTCAGAATTGAAGGGGAAAAACACAAAAGCATTGCACACAATTTAAACCTATCAATGTCGTTTAATTAACAAAGGTAATCTGGTGGTTTTGAGTCGATGAGTAGTGGAGATATCACTGTCAAATCAATCGACAGGAAGGAGAATACTTACTTCCGGGTATACAATTCTCCGTTATCCAATGGGAATGGACGCTCACATTGCCTTTAAGAGCTGCCGAAATAAATGGATGCGGTGCTTCCATGAGCGTCAAATACCGCCGCCGATGAGAATACATTGCAATCAATTGAAAGCTATTTGCGTCCGTTTATGAAGCCTCAGCGCGTCACCCAACTGCATTACATTACATTGCATATAGCGGACGCTTTTATCCAAAGCGACTTACAATAAGTGCGTTCGACCAACAAAATACAAACTTGAAGAAAACAGAATCATATAAACCTGTAACCTTTATTAGTATATAAGTGCTTTGTTAATAGTTCTATCGCTCAAAGTGGAGTTGAAAGAGATGAGTTTTCAGTCTGGAAGGTGTGTAAGCTATCTGCTGTCCTGATGTCAATGGGGAGCTCATTCCACCATCCTGGAGCCAGGACAGCAAACCCACGTGTTTTCGCCGTTGGGAACTTGGGTCCCCTTCGCAGCGAGGGTGCAGCGAGTCGTTTGGCTGATGCAGAGCGGAGTGCACGTGCTGGGGTGTACGGTTTAACTATGTCCTGGATGTAGGAAGGGCCAGATCCATTCGCAGCATGGTACGTAAGTACCAGTGTCTTGAAGTGGATTCTAGCAGTTACCGGAAGCCAGTGAAGGGAGCGGAGGAGCGGAGTGGTGTGGGAACATTTAGGAAGGTTGAAGACCAGACGAGCCGCTGCATTCTGGATGAGCTGCAGAGGTCGGATGGCACATGCAGGTAGACCAGCCAGGAGGGAGTTGCAGTAGTCTAGGCGTGAGATGACGAGAGCCTGGACCAGAACCTGAGTCGCTTTCTGAGTCAGCTGGGGACGAATCCTCCTGATGTTGTAAAGCGTGTATCTGCAGCAGCGGGTTGTAGCAGCGATGTTTGCAGTGAAGGACAGGTTGTTATCTAGGGTCACACCCAGATTCCTTGCAGTCTGAGTCGGGGAAACAACTGAGGTGCCGATGTTGATTGTTAGGTCAAGAGTGGGACAATCTTTTCCCGTAAGGTAGAGCAACTCAGTCTTGTCAAGGTTGAGCTTGAGGTGGTGAGCAGACATCCACTGAGAGATGTCAGCTAGACAAGCAGAGATGCGTGCGACGACCTGGGTCTCTGAGCGGGGAAAGGACAGAATTAATTGGGTGTCGTCAGCGTAGCAGTGGTATGAAAAACCATGCGGGCTAATGACTGATCCGAGCGAGTTTGTGTACAAAGAGAAGAGGAGGGAAAATAGATGTTATTTAAGAATGTGACTCTTAATGGCAGTTTTTGATTTAATTAAGACAATCCAGTTAAACAATTACGCACAAATCTGTCATCTCAAAACATTCTATTGCACTATTTTATGTTTTATTTGTTCTATGTCATACATATATATACAGTTGCAAGAAAAAGTATGTGAACCCTTTGGATTCTCCACACATAGCGTTGTGTGTTCCTTCCAAACAACTCAACTTTGGTTTCATCTGTCCACAGAATATGTTGCCAGTAGTGCTGTGGAACATCCAGGTGCTCTTTTGCAAACTTCAAACGTGCAGCAATGTTTTTTCTGGACAGCAGTGGCTTCCTCCGTGGTGTCCTCCCATGAACTCCATTCTTGTTCATTGTTTTACATATCGTAGATTCGTCAACAGAGATGTTAGCATGTGCCAGAGATGTCTTTAAGTCTCTAGCTGACACTCTAGGATTCTTCTTCACCTCATGGAGCATTCTGCGCTGTGCTCTTGCAGTCATCTTTACAGGACGGCCACTCCTAGGGAGAGTAGCAACAGTGCTGAACTTTCTCCATGTATAGACTGTGTCTTACCGTGGACTGATGAACATCAAGGCTTTCAGAGATACTTTTGTAACCCTTTCCAGCTTTATGCAAGTCAACAATTCTTAATCGTAGGTCTTCTGAGAGCTCTTTAGTGCGAGGCATGGTTCACATCTGGCAATGCTTCTTAAGAATAGCTAATTCAAAACTGGTGTGTATTTTTTATAGGGCAGGGCAGCTTTAACCAACACCTCCAATCTGGTCTCATTGATTGGACTCCAGGTTGGCTGACTCCTGACTCCAATTAGCTCTTGAAGAAGTTTTTAGCCTAGGGGTTCACTTAGTTTTTCCACCCTGCACTGTGAATGTTTACATGGTGTGTTCAATAAAAACATGAAAACATATCATTGTTTGTGTGGTATTAGTTTAAGCAGACTGTGTTTGTCTATTGTTGTGACTTAGATGAAGATCAGAACACATTTTATGACCAACTTATGCAGAAATCCAGGTCATTCCAAAGAGTTCACTTTTTCTTGCAACTGTATTTGTTGCACTGTTGGAGGATCCTGTGACATACGTTTTTCATTGCCATATCTACACTGTAGATAACGTGCACATGACTAAAACAGCCTTGAAACTTGAAATGATCAAAACTGCATTGTCTCACTGAACCAGCCCTAAAATCACAAACTGCCTTTTAGGATGTGACATCAAAAACATTTAACATTTTATTCAAGACAGCTGCAGAGCTACTCACAGAACATTTAAGATCAAACTATTCAATACAAAGATATTGTTTTACAGTTAAATTAAACAATAAAAAAGCTCTTTCAATTATTACCCAAACACAACTTCAAAGGGGCTTCCTTATAGTTAAAGTAATTAAACAATAAAAAGACAAGATCAATGAGTCATTGAGATCTTTAAATTAGTATAACCAAAACACACAACTTCCTTAAAGTTAATAAAGCAATTACATATTAGTTCCCACGCCAACAGGTGATCATACACTCATCAAAGGATCGGCATCAACGTTTTAATATACCATAAAACAAAACCTCATAAACATCAGACACCATAAACACGTGAATATTAGACACCTGTCAACACACGTCAAACAAATATTAGACACCTGTCAGTACACCAGACATCAAAGGTTTATTAGGGGGTCGTAAATCATAGCTATGCATACTAATGCAACGGAAAGGTTATGACTATAACTACTTTCATCTGGTTACAATGTGACAGTTATACAATGTTTTAGTCTCTGGTATTAATTATTAATTTACATGTTTTCCTTTTTGTTAAAACTCCCTGCATATCTCCAGAGGCATTTCCTCATGATGACAGGGGTAAGTACGATCTATGGAGAGATTCCCAGTTAAGAACCCTAAGACCTGTTTTCCTCTCTGGTGCTTTTATATCATACCAACAGAAGCAGAAGAGAATACACACAAACAGACCCATGTCAAACTTTTGTTTTAATTATATAACCCAATATGGAAACCTCCTCAGTCTCTGGTTATAAATGTTGCCGGTTCTGGTCCTCCACAGTCCTCTCTTTACTTGGACCAAACATTTTTTTTATCACAACAGTCTAGTTATCGCATTATATACGACTTACTGGGACTTACCCAGAGAGTTTAAACCTAACAATAATCACTGTCTTCAGTGTCAGGTTCAGAAGAATCTCCAGGGTTGTCCTCAGTCTCTGGTTGTAAATGTCTCTCTGGGCTCTGGGTCCTCCTGGTTCGGCCTATGCTGGTTTTGATTTCCACCTTCCGTAAACAATTCCTCTCCCTGGTGATTGCTGTTGAATGTTTCACCACTGTGGAAAAATGTATGTTTCAAAAAGCTTAAATCTGACAGGCTTTCACTGCTCTGTTTCCAAAAATCATCGTCTTCTCTGTCTTCAGGTTCAGAAAAGTCTCCAGGGTTGTCCTCAGTCTCTGGTTGTAAATGTCTCTCTGGATCTGAGTTCCTGGCTGGTTCTGGTCCTCCACAGTCCTCTCCATCAGCTTCTGTTTCCATGTGTTCAGCTGAGCTGCTGGCTGGAGGCTCTGCCTCTCTGTTCTCCTCAGTTTGAGTTTGATGAAGCTCTGAGGACTGACGACCAACACACTTATGTCTTTTGACCTGATAACTGTGTGTAAATCTTTTGTCACAAACACTGCAGCTAAATGGTTTCTCTCCTGTGTGGAATCTCATGTGGGCCTTTAAATTTCCTCTCTGTGCAAAAGATGTCTCACAGACTGAGCAGCTGAATGGTTTCTCTCTTGCACTACGTCTTGCGCCAACACACTTATGGCTTTTGACATGACCACTCCTGGTGAATCTTTTGTCACAAACACTGCAGCTGAATGGTTTCTCTCCTGTGTGGATTCTAATGTGGCCCTTTAAATCTGATCTCTGTGCAAAAGATTTCTTACAGACTGAGCAGCTAAATGGTTTCTCTCCTGTGTGGATTCTCATGTGGCATTTTAAATCTCCTCTGTTTTTAAAATATTTCTTACAGACTGAGCAGCCGAATGGTTTCTCTCCTGTGTGGATTCTTATGTGCTCCTTTAAATGACTACTCTGTTTAAAAGATTTCTTACAGACTGAACAGCCGAATGGTTTCTCTCCTAAACTACGTCTTGAATCACTGACAGGGTCTTGTTTATTTCTCTGAGAGTTTGAACCTGGTTCTCTGGTCTCCTTCCAATCAGCACTGTCTTCAGTGTCAGGTTCATTAGAGTCTCCAGGATTGTCCTCATTCTCTGGTTGTAAATGTCTCTCTGGATCTGAGTTCCTGGCTGGTTCTGGTCCTCCACAGTCCTCTCCATCAGCTTCTGTTTCCAGGTGTTCAGTTTGTCTTTGATGAAGCTGAGAGGACTGAGGTTTCTCTTCATCATCTTCACTCTTCACAGGGACAGGAGTGAATGTGGACTTGATGATATCAGCCTCCTCCAGCCCTTGAAGCTGCTCTCCCTCCTGACTGCTCCAGAGTTCCTCCTGTTCCTCTTTAATGTGTGGGGGGGGGCTCTGGGTCCTCCTGGTCCAGACTGGAGCTCCACTCCTGCTGCTCAGATGGAACCTCTTCTTTAACCACCACCAGCTGCTGGACGTCTGCAGGAAACAGGAAACACATTCATCAGAATCGGTTATATTTACCAAGTAGGTTTACACAGGAATTTGCTTTAGTATATATGTGGTGCATACAAAGAAACAGAAAGAAGCATCTCAGACAAACTAAATAAAATACAAATAGGAATGTTATGACAGCTATTTAAAAAAAACTATTTAAAAACTACTATAACCAATTAACAATATTTACATGTGACAAATACTATACACTTTATTCAAAGTGGAGAACTGTGCTGATTTAAAAGAGGAAGTGTGCAGAACAGATGTGCAGCATGTGCAGGATTTACAATTGTCAAAAGAACAAGGTGTTGTTGACATGATGACTTTAAAAAAGGTCCCATGTCATGGCCATTTCTACTGATCATAATTCCATTGTTGAGGTCGACTAGAATAGATTTACATTGTTCAATGTTCCAAACTCACATTGGTTTCTCAAACAGCATCTCTGTATAGTTTGTGTATTCACTCTCTGTCCTACACGCCTTGTTGGAGCTCCTGCGGAGTATTGCGGCTGAGAAGAGATAAGGCTGGATGAGTGTGTGTGTGTGAGTGAGGATCAATCCACGGAGCTGTTACGTCAGTATACCCAATACGTCAGTATACCCAAGAAGAAGAAAAATCTCCAACGAGGCGTTCTGGGGCAGCACAGACAGGTCTTTTCTGTGTTAGAGTTTTACTCCCTACAGGGTGTACTTTGAGGGTTTGTGACTCTGCAGAACGTTTACATGCAGAAAAACCTTCATAACACAAGGGGCCGGGTAATAACCAGAAAAGCATGACATGGGACCTTTAAAGTAATGTTATTAGGGGCTGGATAAAAGTCACTGGAAGAGGACAGACTCCACAGCAGTGGCTTGGGAGTCACACAGAGTGATGGGGGCGGGTTGGGCTGCGTTCTTCCTGAAGCCCAAAACCAGCTCACTGTCTTGAGAGCGTTGAGCTCCAGGTTACAAGATCATCATGTGCTCAGCAGCTACAGTGTAGATATGGTAATGAAAAACTGAAGTCCTCCTCCAACAGGGCAACATGAATATATATAGAACATAAACAAATAAAAACGGATGAAATAGTGCAAGAGAATGTTTTGAGATGTGCAAGTTAATACAAATGAAATAGAAAATAGTGCAATAATAATAATAGGTTGGATTTATATAGCGCCTTTCATGAGAGCCAAGGTTACAAAGAAGAACAGGGGGAAACAAACAAACAAACAAAAAGGCAGACAGACAAAACAACAAATAGATTAGGGCCAAGGGCCTTAGCAAACAGACGGGTCTTGAGGGCCCTTTGAAGGCGTCAAGCGTGGAGATGTTGCGGATCTCCGCAGGGAGAGCGTTCCAGAGGGTGGGGGCTGCCACACTGAAGTAGTGTTAATTTAGTTGACTAAAACTATGACGAAATATGTTCGACAACAACCTTTTTTTCCATGACGAGAACGAGACGATGATGAGACGGCACTGACGGCAGTAAACAATAACTGTAACGAAATCATCATGCTATATCGTTGACGAAAAGTGACGAGACGAAAATGTAGTTTACTAAATAAAAACTATGCCAAAATGAGGAGACGAAATATTATCAAAGATAACGTTACATCTCTGATAGTCAGTTTTTCTCCCAGCAGTTCCATTTCCTGCGCTGCGGCTGGGCAGCAGCTGTGTGTCTGTGGTGCGGCTGGGCAGCAGCTGTGTGTCTGTGGTGCGGCTGGGCAGCAGCTGTGTGTCTGCGGAGCGGCTGGGCAGCAGCTGTGTGTCTGTGGTGCGGCTGGGCAGCAGCTGTGTGTCTGCGGAGCGGCTGGGCAGCAGCTGTGTGTCTGCGGAGCGGCTGGGCAGCAGCTGTGTGTCTGCGGAGCGGCTGGGCAGCAGCTGTGTGTCTGCGCTGCGGCTGGGCAGCAGCTGTGTGTCTGCGGTGCGGCTGGGCAGCAGCTGTGTGTCTGCGGAGCGGCTGGGCAGCAGCTGTGTGTCTGTGGTGCGGCTGGGCAGCAGCTGTGTGTCTGCGGAGCGGCTGGGCAGCAGCTGTGTGTCTGCGGAGCGGCTGGGCAGCAGCTGTGTGTGTCTGTGCTGCGGCTGGGCAGCAGCTGTGTGTCTGCGGTGCGCATGGCGGTAGATTTGAATTACACCGGGCAGCGGTGACTGTGAACTGTCAGGAAGACTCGGGTCTAACTCATGGTCTAACTAACCTTATTTAACAGAAAATAAAATGGCAACAACAGGGCTTGGGAGCAGTGGTCGCACTCGCGTTAACCGAATATCCCCCGTCAGCGCAAGTGATTGATAAATTGTGCACTCGACGGATAATAATGGATTATGACGGAAATGTTACGATCCTGCAGATAATCATTCCAAAACAAAGGAAGTGCCGTGCACATCCTTAAGAGTCGGGGAAATGCACGATCGTCGTAAGGACGGCGGACGCCACGTCCAGAAGATGGGAGATGATGGCGTGCCAAAGATTATCCGCATGGCGATATGCAGTTGCCAGGTGAGGGAGAGAAACTGCACTTGGTGATGTTTTGCTGTAATACAGCTTGGCGTTATTGTGGATGCACAGCAGTTTTCGGTTAGGAGAACGTTTCATTACTATGAAGCTCGGTGTGATACCTAGGACTCCGGGTGTGTGACTGAGCGTATAGTTCCTCTTTGATTTAGGAACGCCGTGCTCCTAAAGGAGTCTCTTCTTCTTTCTTCTTTTTCTCTTCTTTCCAGTTGAGCGGTGTTACAATGTTATGTAATGTTGTATTTGAACACTAGATGGCGTAAAGGGCCACACATGAGGGGATCTCCCTGAGCAGTGGGTGATTTGGACTGAGGAGAGCAACTATTAATATTACTTACCCATGTAGCCGGTGCACGCCTGAGGCTGAAGGACTTCCACTGGGATGGATGAGTGGGAACTTTAAGAGCGTTGTTAATATCTGCTTTAGAGAGCCAGACTTGGCCTGCTCGCTAATTATTTGATTGCATTATCATCCGTGCGTAGAAAGAGAAATCATTGTACCGTTGTCATGTCAGCTCCCGACCGTAGTCGAAGAAGAGGAGGGTGACTCTGTAAACAGAGTAAAACATCTTCGGTTCATACACGATGAATAAGGCAGGCAGGTGAGCTCTTCTGTTTAGAATGTAAGGTTATACTGCAGAAGAATTATCTAAATGTTGATTTACCAGTTTATATTCCCTCAGTGATATAGTACTTATGCGCGGTTAAGTGGTTGATATAGTGCCTTAGACTTGAATTTATATATATTTTTTAATGCATGTGATTGTAATTAGATATGCAGCAATACTTTATTTTCAAAAGAAAATGCAATGTAACATCTTGGTGTGAATAGAAGATCTTTGACGTAATGTTGATGTTGCGGGTTCATACAAGTGAAATAAACATGGACACGCTGTTGAGCAGTAATCCGCTTCATCTGTTGATGTAGACCAGTGTTTCTCAAACTTTTTCATACCAAGACCACTTAACCAATAAAAAAACACTCGCGGTCCACCTAACTCCACAAATAACCAAAATCACATCGTTTTCTAGAACAGATTACAAATCGCCTGAAAATGGTACAAACAGGTGGCAACATGTGTGATGAAGGTGTTGCGCTGGGCTATATCATGCAATCGAAAGTGAAACGTAAGCTCCATTGCAGAGATATTCCCGCGAGAATGCGGAAAATTTAAATGTATTTATTTATTTATTTCAAAAGTGAAATTTTACCAATATACACACGGACCACTAGGGGACACTCACGGACCACCAGTGGTCCGCGCAGTGGCGACTGGTCATTAGGGGCAGGTGGGGCACAGCCCCACCTAGTGTCAGCAGAAAGTATTACAAATAATGATTACAAAAAAATGCAAAAAATAAATTAAAAAATATATAAAATATATTTTAAGATCATGTTTAGTCGTCTGATTCGTCTCATTGCTGTTTTAGTCTGTGTTCTTCTAATTAGTGTCTACATTGTGGGCCTATTGAGCTGTTTAGAGCCCGCATGGTTTTTCTTACCACTGCTACGCTGACGACACCCAATTAATTCTGTCCTTTCCCCGCTCAGAGACCCAGGTCGTCGCACGCATCTCTGCTTGTCTAGCTGACATCTCTCAGTGGATGTCTGCTCACCACCTCAAGCTCAACCTTGACAAGACTGAGCTGCTCTTCCTCCCGGGAAAAGATTGTCCAACTCTTGACCTGACAATCAACATCGGCACCTCAGTTGTTTCCCCCGACTCAGACTGCAAGGAATCTGGGTGTGACCCTAGATAACAACCTGTCCTTCACTGCAAACATCGCTGCTACAACCCGCTGCTGCAGATACACGCTTTACAACATCAGGAAGATACGTCCCCAGCTGACTCAGAAAGCGACTCAGGTTCTGGTCCAGGCTCTCGTCATCTCACGCCTAGACTACTGCAACTCCCTCCTGGCTGGTCTACCTGCATGTGCCATCCGACCTCTGCAGCTCATCCAGAACGCAGCGGCTCGTCTGGTCTTCAACCTTCCTAAATGTTCCCACACCACTCCGCTCCTCCGCTCCCTTCACTGGCTTCCGGTAACTGCTAGAATCCACTTCAAGACACTGGTACTTGCTTACCATGCTGCGAATGGATCTGGCCCTTCCTACATCCAGGACATGGTTAAACCGTACACCCCAGCACGTGCACTCCGCTCTGCATCAGCCAAACGACTCGTTGCGCCCTCGCTGCGAGGGGGACCAAAGTTCCCATCGGCGAAAACACGTGGGTTTGCTGTCCTGGCTCCAAGATGGTGGAATGAGCTCCCCATTGACATCAGGACGGCAGATAGCTTGCACATCTTCCGGCGCAAACTGAAAACTCATCTCTTTCGACTCCACTTCGAGCGTTAGAACGATTAACGAAGCACTTTTATACTAATAAAGGACTGGCTTACCTAAAGCCAGTTGAGTAGCACTTGAAATGTTTGGCTCTATGAAACCTGATATACTTATATGATTCTGTTTTCTTCAAGGTTGTGTCTTCCTGGTCGAATGTACTTATTGTAAGTCGCTTTGGACAAAAGCGTCAGCTAAATGCAATGTAATGTAATGTAATGTAATGTGGGACAAAACCCGATCCTCCCTCTCACTGTCTAAGTGAACGGTGACTGTAAAAACTACACTGCGCATGCTCAGAATATTTTCCTATTTAATGTGTGTGGCAAAAAAATAATGACCATAGGGGCAGAGAGCTGCCATCCCCACCATACGTCATCTCACATTCAGAGCTGATTGGCTGTAAGCACGTGTGCCGCGAAAAGTGTGGTGTGTGAAGAGGAGACGAGAGAGATGCAGTGACGCATCCTTAAACCCGGAAGTAAACTGCGCATGGTTTCCCTCCACAAAAAAGCAATGAGATTTCTCCATAGGATTTTAGAAAATAGCTCCAAATAAGATCTGTGGGAAACCTACCTGTTAGATAAATGCACGTTTGCATAAATCTATTGATTAGATTAATTATAGACTTTTGAAACTACAAGAACATAAGGAGGACTTTTCCAAAAAAGTAATAGAGATATTTGTCCAGAAGGATAGGCAAATGGACTTCATCTTCTAGTCAAGGTAAGACTGCAATTTTATTGAAAATGGGATCTTACTAAGAGAGAACAATTCAATATTTAAATCAGTGGTTCTCAACTGGTCGGGCCTCGGGACCCACTTTTTACTTGGTCAATACATCGCGACCCAACATTTTGAAGCACTCAGATCTATTTAACAAAAAATCGTGCTGTAATATATATATACGCTTTTCAGCATACAATATTAATAAAAGTGAAGTACAGTGCATATATCCCTTCACATAACTAAAGTATGGTTTAAAAAAGGTTTAATGAGATGATGGAATCAAAGCTGAACTATATAAAAAGGCACGCATGCTGAAAACCCAACCCCAGCAGGGGGTCTGGGGGGATTCTCCCCCAGGAGATTTTTAGAAATACTAACAGACTATGCATTCTGGTACAATCTGAGAAGAAAATAAATAAATGTATTACTACCCGACATATTAATAATATGTTATGCCATTGTTTGTTTTTCACTTTGTTCTGACATCTTGCTGCGAGAAGAGCAAAGAGGAGATAGTCTGTGACTTACTTTAAATTGTGGGTAAGGGTAGATAGCTCCCATTATTCTGTGACCTGTCAATCATCAGACCGGGGGTCATATTTCATTATGTGTTGATTTCTATCTGAAGTTGTAACCATAAAGAAGAGTTCTACCGCAAAATTATTCTCCGAGGAGGGGACTTCCGGCAACAATCTTGATTCTGATTGGCCAGAGGACTCGAAAAAACATCAGCAAATATATTTTATTGAGAAGATTATCACTATGTGACAAAACAGTTTATGGTCTCCGGTACTTCCAGTCCAACGCCGACTGCTTGCACAGCGTTAGAAAATCGGGCCTTCAAAATAAAAGTTTGACTTTTTCCCCCCCAAAAAAAATAAAAATGTCTTTTTCCCCCCCAATTTTTTTTTCTTCACTCACACATCCGCGACCCACTCAAAACGGGTCCACGACCCACTTTTGGGTCGCGACCCACCAGTTGAGAACCACTGATTTAAATGATACAATTACATTTTTTGGGTATCCTTCTGTTGAACTGTCTGTTTAAAATTAATTGAAGCATCAGACAAAAAAAGCTTTTGAAAATAATATTATATTTTGATTTAGGTCAAAATATAATATTTGTAAACCTGAAGAGTCAGAGCCAGTGCCTCACCAGGCATGAACCTCACTGCAGAAGCTTATAGACATCTACGTTTTTTGTGCCCCACCACTTTTGTACATATAAAAACGCCACTGGGTCCGCGGACCACACTTTGAGAAGCACTGATGTAGACACTTAACTGTCCATGGAGCAGAATATTACAGAAGGGGCCGATGAAGTGGCCTTGATTTACGTCTCTCTAGAACATGTGTCAAACTCAAGGCCCGGGGGCCAAATCCGGCCCTTGGTGGATTTAATTTCGGCCCGCAGGATAATTTCTAATTCCTATTAGATCTGGCCCTCCGGTATATTGCACGCACACCTTCACTCCATCTGAGGGTCTCCTCAGCTCAGAGCCTGAGCCCAAACATTGATGAACTTGCACCCGAGATGAGATGCCAAGTATCTGAACTAGCATCACAGAGCAGCACACTGAGTTTCAATGGATATTTCCTTCTGCACTTTTTTTCTTGCGACAACAGAGCATGTTTGGTTTGTTCTTTGAGGGAAATTGCTTTTTTGAAGCTGTTGTCGGCCTGTGGAAAAATGTAATCCTAAGAAATGACTCTGGGAAAGCTGCAGATAGAGCCATAAGAAATTAATGCAACTGATTATTTAATGTTGTTTTTATAAGCAATCATTTAAGCTTTGTTAGTTCCAGGTTTAATATGTGCAATAAGTTCATTTCAATACGTTTTGCAATAAACATCGGCCCTCGACTAGTACCCACTGTGTATTTTAGTTTGACACCCCTGCTCTACCTCTCTGAAGAACCAGCACCTTACCGTGGTAGAGAGGTTTGTGTGCCCTGATGAACCTGGGGGTTGTGTTGTCTGGAACCTTGTGTTCCTGGTACGGTCTCCCATGGCAAATTGGTCTCAGGCAAGGGGCCAGACTAAGATTGGTTCAAAAGACCTCATGAAAGAAAAACCAGGAAGTGCGTCTGGTGGCTGGGCTTGCCACGGAGCCCGGCCGAAAAGGCAACGTGGGCAACACCTCCGCTTCTCCGTCCCGCGGGCCCACCACCTACGGGAAACAGCGATGGGGTCGGGTGAGCTGCCAGAAGGGTGGCAGTGAAAGCAGAGGGTCTCGACGGACCAGACCCGGGCGACAGAAGCTGGCTTTGGGGACGTGGAACGTCACCTCTCTGGGGGGAAGGAGCCGGAGCTTGTGCGGGAGGTGGAGCGTTACCAGTTGGATCTGGTTGGGCTCACCTCTACGCACAGCGTCGGCTCTGGAACCTTACTTCTGGATAGGGGTTGGACTCTATTCTTCTCCGGAGTTGCTCAAGGTGTGAGGCGCCGGGCGGGTGTGGGGATACTCACAAGTCCCCGGTTGGGTGCTTCGTTGTTGGAGTTTACCCCAGTGGACGAGAGGGTCGCCTCCCTACGCCTGCGGGTTATGGGGGGGGAAACTCTGACTCTTGTGTGTGCTTATGCACCCAACAGCAGTTCAGAGTATACAGCCTTCTTGGAGACCCTGGAAAGAGTCCTGTATGGGGCTCCTGAAGGGGACTCTTTAATCTTGCTGGGAGACTTCAACGCACATGTGGGCAATGATGGAGACACGTGGAGGGGCGTGATTGGGAGGAACGGCCCCCCTGATCTGAACCGGAGTGGGTGGTTTGTTAGTGGACTTCTGTGCTAGTCATGGATTGGCCATAACAAACACCATGTTCGAACATAAGGATGCTCATAAGTGTACGTGGTACCAGAGCACCCTAGGCAGAAGGTCCATGATCGATTTTGTACAATAGAACTATTAACAAAGCACTTGTATACTAATAAAGGACTGGCTTACCTAAAGCCAGTTGAGTAGCACTTGAAATGTTTTTGCTCTATGAAACCTGATTTCTGTTTTCTTCAAGGTTGTATTTTGTTGGTCGAACGCACTTATTGTAAGTCGCTTTGGATAAAAGCCTCAGCTAAATGCAATGTAATACGTCGGACAGTCTCGTAAACTTGTTGCAAACTGCCTTCTTGCCAGCGCTGCACCTGACGCCTTGTTGTTACGTAGAGGCGCAGGAGGAAAGCGGCGCTCTAGGCAGAAGGGGGCAAGAGCCCGGAGCTGTGCAGTGAAACTGCTAGCCGCTTACGACTGCAACTTGTTGTCCAGTGTGAATTACTGAGCCGGGAGGAGATGTAGCTGCTATCGGATATAGGCCTGAGCCCTACCTACGGGAGGGGCTGTGATGGTTGAAACCAGAGATGGGGTGAAGCTTCACATGCGATGATTTGAGCGGCCCTGATGCCGGTGATGCGCTCTCAAGAGAGGGCATCACCGGAGTGTTGATCGAGCTATTACCCTGGGGCGGCTGCTATGGTGAGCGTTGGAGCGAGACGGGGAGGTTTTCCATTAAGCCAGAGGAGCTTCCGTGGGGCCCGACTTCTTTGTCCTTTTTCCTCCCGCGTCCGGGTTTGCGGGTAGCCGGCTGGAGCCGCTGACTCGAGCTGGGGAACCCCGCCTGTAGCTTGATCTGCGAGCCTGCGGAGCTGGTGAAGAGATAGGCCTGGAGCTGGAGTAATGCATTGCTGCTGCAGTTTGGAAAGGAGGAGATCTGCCTCTGCTGCTGGTGAGCTGCTGCGGGATACCGAGCGGCAGCTTGAGGAAGTTGCGTAGGGACTCAGGCAGTGTGTCGGGCCCGGATCAAGATCCTGCTGGAAGCTGGTCTGAGCACTATGAATCGGACGTCTTGAGAATCATAACACCATGAAGTACGAGGTTAGTTTGACGATTGCTGTCTGTGTGTTGCGTAGAGTCACCCGAAATGACAACTGTCAGAGAGGGGAGAGCAGATTTTAAAAGGTTTGGCAAAGCGCTATGATAGCTCTTGGGAATAGAGCGAAGTAATTGGTTAAGCTGGAGAGGAGAGAGAGTAGTTACGCAGGAATAGTGAATAGACTGTCTTCCTGGATGAACTTACGATGAGCTTCACTTTTACCGCAGAGTTTGCAACGCCACAAATAAATGGTGCCAATCTTCAGTCAGATGAGACTGTGTACATTTTTAGTAAGAATAACGGACAAAAGGTGTGAAAATACCATGAGGAAATATGAACCAGAAGTTATCAAAGTTAAACCATCAGAAATGTTTTTAACAACATTTGGTCAAAAAGAGAGAGTGAATAAAGAGAGAGTTAGTAAAGAGGGAACAGACCTGCTCTGTGGATCTGAAGCTGAGGCTGTAAAACAGCGTCCAGTAGTTTTCCGGTGTCTCTCGTTCTCCTGTTTTGAACGAGACAGTTCCTCCTCGTACTCTGCTATCGTTCTTTCAAACAGAACAAAGATGTCTTCAGCAGCCGCAGTGAGTCGCTGCTTCACCAACGAGAGCAGCACAACACTCATGTTTACTAAATCACCACTTCCAGTTGAACACACTGTTTCTCTCTGAAGCTTCAGTCTCTGTTGAACACACTGTTTCTCTGAAGCTTCAGTCTCTGTTGAACACACTGTTTCTCTCTGAAGCTTCAGTCTCTGTTGAACACACTGTTTCTCTCTGAAGCTTCAGTCTCTGTTGAACACACTGTTTCTCTGAAGCTTCAGTCTCTGTTGAACACACTGTTTCTCTCTGAAGCTTCAGTCTCTGTTGAACACACTTTTCTCTCTGAAGCTTCAGTCTCTGTTGAAACACACTGTTTCTCTGAAGCTTCAGTCTCTGTTGAACACTGTTTCTCTTGAAGCTTCAGTCTCTGTTGAACACACTGTTTCTCTCTGAAGCTTCAGTCTCTGTTAAACACACTGTTTCTCTCTGAAGCTTCAGTCTCTGTTGAACACACTGTTTCTCTCTGAAGCTTCAGTCTCTGTTGAACACACTGTTTCTCTGAAGCTTCAGTCTCTGTTGAACACACTGTTTCTCTCTGAAGCTTCAGTCTCTGTTGAACACACTGTTTCTCTCTGAGCTTCAGTCTCTGTTCAACACACTGTTTCTCCTGAAGCTTCAGTCTCTGTTAAACACTGTTTTCTCTGAAGCTTCAAGTCTCTGTTGAACACACTGTTTCTCTCTGAAGCTTCAGTATCTGTTAAAACACACTGTTTTCTCTCTGAAGCTTCAGTCTCTGTTAACACACTGTTTCTCTCTGAAGCTTCAGTCTCTGTTGAACACACTGTTTCTCTGAAGCTTCAGTCTCTGTTAACACAACTGTTCTCTCTGAAGCTTCAGTCTTCTGTTGAAACACACTGTTTCTCTGAGCTTCAGTCTCTGTTGAACACACTGTTTCTCTCTGAAGCTTCAGTCTCTGTTGAACACACTGGTTTCTCTCTGAAGCTTCAGTCTCTGTTAACACACTGTTTCTCTGAAGCTTCAGTCTCTGTTGAACACACTGTTTCTCCTGAAGCTTCAGTCTCTGTTAAACACACTGTTTCTCTCTGAGCTTCAGTCTCTGTGCAACACACTGTTTCTCTGAAGCTTCAGTCTCTGTTGAACACACTGTTTCTCTCTGAAGCTTCAGTCTCTGTTGAACACACTGTTCTCTCTGAAGCTTCAGTCTCTGTTGAACAAACTGTTTCTCTGAAGCTTCAGTCTCTGTTGAACACACTGTTTTCTCTGAAGCTTCAGTCTCTGTTTAACACACTGTTTCTCTCTGAAGCTTCAGTCTCTGTTGAACACACTGTTTCTCTCTGAAGCTTCGTCTCTTGTTGAACACACTGTTTTCTCTGAAGCTTCAGTCTCTGTTGAACACACTGTTTCTCTGAAGCTTCAGTCTCTGTTGAACACACTGTTTCTCTCTGAAGCTTCAGTCTCTGTTGAACACACTGTTTTCTTCTCTTGAGCTTCAGTCTCTGTTGAACACACTGTGTTCTCTCTGAAGCTTCAGTCTCTGTTAAACACACTGTTTCTCTCTGAAGCTTCAGTCCTCTGTTGAACACACTGTTTCTCTCTGAAGCTTCAGTCTCTGTTGAACACACTGGTTTCTCTCTGAGCTTCAGTCTCTGGTTTTTTGAAGCTTAAACACCTGTTTCTCTCTGAAGCTTCAGTCTCTGTTGAACACACTGTTTCTCTCTGAAGCTTCAGTCTCTGTTGAACACACTGTTTCTCTCTGAAGCTTCAGTCTCTGTTGAACACACTGTTTCTCTCTCTCTGAAGCTTCAGTCTCTGTTGAACACACTGTTTCTCTCTGAAGCTTCAGTCTCTGTTGAACACACTGTTTCTCTCTGAAGCTTCAGTCTCTGTTGAACACACTGTTTCTCTCTGAAGCTTCAGTCTCTGTTGAACACACTGTTTCTCTCTGAAGCTTCAGTCTCTGTTGAACACACTGTTTCTCTCTGAAGCTTCAGTCTCTGTTGAACACACTGTTTCTCTGAAGCTTCAGTCTCTGTTGAACACACTGTTTCTCTGAAGCTTCAGTCTCTGTTGAACACACTGTTTCTCTGAAGCTTCAGTCTCTGTTGAACACACTGTTTCTCTGAAGCTTCAGTCTCTGTTGAACACACTGTTTCTCTCTGAAGCTTCCTGAGCTGCTGTTCAGCTGGACGGCAGGAAGCAGAGGTTTGGGAGGATGATGTCCCTGATGCTGTTTAGATTTCTCCAGCACCACAGGGGGTCCTGTGTGGATGGCAGCTCCTTCCTCAGCAGATCCAGTTCTCCAGAATTGTCCTAATCACAGAGAAACAAGAGAAAAAGAACAACATGTATTCATCTTATTAACAAATGGTGATTGCAAAAGGATGATCATCCGCTATACAAAACAAAACGTGACTACACGTAAGTATGAGAGAATTGCGAAACTTTACCTGAAGCCAGCTATTCTCCTACAAGATACCTATGCCGGTGGCGGAAGCAAAACACGGCAAGAACGGAAGTGGGTAGGTCTGGACACCAGCGAACAAGAGGCCGCCAGCTAGAAGCCTCTGCCCCTTTATAGGGTGCCCCCTGGTGGTGATAGGCCAAAAAGAATATGCCTTACGACACTATTTACTGCTCATCCTGCTACACATGGATAAAAGTTACAGTGCAGTCTAAGATATGAATAGTTCAATTAAAAGCAGCGACAAAAAGAAAAGTCTTCTTGCTGGATTTGAAAGTAGTCAGAGTTGCAGCGGACCTGCAGGTTTCTGGGAGTTTGTTCCAGATATTTGGAGCATAATAACTGAACGCTGCTTCTCCATGTTTAGTTCTGACTCTGGGGACAGAAAGCTGACCAGTCCCTGAAGACCTGAGAGATCTGGATGGTTCATCATTTAGCAGGAGGTCAGAAATGTATTTTGGGCCTAAACCATTCAGTGCTTTATAAACCAGCAGCAGTATTTAGAAATCTATTCTTTGACACACAGGAAGCCAGTGTGAAGACTTCAGAACAGGAGTGATCCACTTTCTTAGTGTTAGTGAGGACTCGAGCAGCGGCGTTCTGAATCAGCTGCAGCTTCCTAATAGATTTATACGGCACAACACCGGCAATAGGTATGTATTGTTACATTAAAACGGTCTCTCCTGATTGAAAGTTAAACCCGATACTCACATTTATCAGTTACTCCTCACGTGCGGCTTTCTCTCTGAGACCGGACCGACATTTTGTTTGTTTCCTCGTCACCGGCGCGCATTGCATCCTGGGATACGGTGGGCTGTGAGGAAGAGGACTCTTCAAAGCCGGGAAAAGAAGAAGGACCCCGCCCCTCCCCCCTCTCTTCTGTCTGTCCCAGAATCAGAAGTCCTTTATTGGTCCCACAGAGGGACATTAACATGGTTACAGCAACAGTGGAGATAGATGCTGCTCCCAGACCGTAGTGGAGGAATACAGGGGAGGACTCTCTGCAGTCTTCCCGGACTGAAGCACCAGGCTTCGGCTTCAATAACCCACTCTGAAATGAGGCAGACAGGCAGGCTGTTCCTTGGGAGGTCGCTGTGTTTCCTCAGGACTTTGTTATACAGCTAACTGGAGACAGACTGATCACTGCTGCTACTCCCGCTCTCTTCCGGACACACACTACGCTCGCTCGCTCGCTCACTCTCGCTCGCTCTACACATGCACGCGCCACACCTCCCTCTCTCTCTTAAAGGGATAGGCGACCCCACTCTGCATCACCCTGCTATTATTAGAGAGAGAGATAGAGAGCTAGATAGTGTTAGAAATTAAAATCAATGTTGATATGGCGTAATTTGAATTAAATACACTATTTAATTTTTAAATCAGTTTTATTCTGAAAACCCGGAAGTTAACTATTAACCGGAAGTTAACTGTTAACTTAATACTTTTATTCTGAACATTCTTCACTTCCGGTTAACATTAGCATGTGGCAAAAAAAGTATTACGCCGATCGCGAGATGCTGCTCGAAGAGCAGACTCCCGTCGGGGAGAGCAGAATATCCAGCCGCTACTACTCTTGCTAAGAATCCTTGCAGGCAGGGGCGGGACTTAATTAGCTGGGCCACCATGCGGCCAATCATATGCGAGGACACACTAGGATCATACCATTATGTGAAAGAAGGGTGGGGGGCAGACGCTCCAAAGACAGCAGGTGTAGTGGTACAGGCCAGCTATGAGCGACGGGGAGCTGGATTTAAATGCAAGCGCGTCGGAAAAAGTCAAGAAATGAGCGAAAACCGAAAAAAGAAGCAGCGTCTGGCTGCTTTTCAATGATGTTGGAGAAAGCAAAGCTGAGTGCAGGATTTGTAAAATGAAAATAACCTTCAGAGCAGGGTTTTTGTTTGGTAACCAGGATTTATTGTCAGAGGTTCAGAAGTTCAGATCTTGTACTTGAGTAAAAGTACCAGAGTATAGGAATACTCGGTTACAATAAAAAGTCTATAAGTTAAAGTAGAAAAGTATTAGCATCAAAATATAGTTAAAGTACCACCTGCAGAGGGATCTAGATTCAGAGATGAATGTGACCAATAAAGAGCAGTTTGATTATTAAGTATTATCCTGTTGATCGATGTCATTACATTTGTTGAAAAGCACATAATGACTTGTTTAAGACTCGCTTTGTCAAAGTTTAGGACTTGGACTTGACTTGAACTTGCCCATCCTGACTTGAGACTTGACTTGAACTTGCCCATCCTGACTTGAGACTTGACTCGGACTTGAGCGCAAAGACTTGAGAGACTTGACTCTGACTTGCAAAACAATGACTTGGTCCCACCTCTGCTACCAGACTGTACCTCTACCAATCACTACCTATACCTATTCCACAAAGTACATTTATGGAATGGGATACATGGATTTCAAGGTTTATTTGGGGGGGGGGGGGGAAGGCCCACTGCAGCTACCCAAAGGGAGAGGAGGATTGGCAGTGCCGAGTTTCCAGGATTATTATTATGCAGCACAAATCAGAACAGTGGCATGCTGGTGTAATATGGAAAACGTCGCTAAATGGAAGGGCATCGAAACAAATGGGGAAAACTACCAGATTCAAAAATTACTAGGGGATAAAGAATTATTCAGGACACGTATTACAAATCACAACATTCACTTGAAACACTTGGAACACGGTTTTGTAACGAGATACAAAATAGGAAAACAGACAAAGATGTTGAGATGGATAACAAATGATAATAAATTCCAGCCGGGAA